GCGCCGGGAGGGGGGGGGGGGGTGGGTGAGCACCCCGTGCCCAGCATGAGCTGGGGGTCAAGGGGCTTGCACCCAGCAGATGATGGGGACAAGAGCGAGCGGAGGCCTGTGTTTGCCGGATCCGCTGCAGTGGGCATCTTGGGGTGCGGGGTTTCAGGGCTCGCGCTGCCCGTTTGGGCTGTAATTCCCTCTTTGTTGTGTGCTGCAGTACATGCCGGAGGGGGGCTGGACAGATCCATTTTATTAAGCTGATCAGAAAGAGGAGAGATGGAAGAAAACCTGTTAGATCCCGACTCCCTTATCCCCCTTCATTAATGCCTGCTAATTCTCAGTGGTGTGTCTCCTACCGCCTCATCCAGCCTGGCTTTAAACCTTTGCAGCGACAGGTCTTTCATCACTTCCCTGGGGAGGCTGTTGCATGACTGTGAGATTTAATAACAACACAAATACCCTGAGCTCTGACATAACCCTTAACAGCCAGGGATCTCCTAGGGCTTCACAAAGGAGAGCAGCTCTGTTTTCATTGGGGAAGGGGGGAAAGGAACTGAAAAAATGAAATTATTCGTCCACTGTCACCCCAAAATTAGCAGCAGAGCTGGGAATCAAGCTCAGGTCTCCCAAGTCCCAGTCCGGTGCTGTAATTACCATATTTTGAGCCAGTCTGATCTTTCTAATCCCCTGGGATCACTTGAGACCAGCTAGGCTACCTTGTAGGTCATATTTTTGATTGATTTTCTGCTGATTTTTTTTTCATGAGGTGGGCATTAGTTTTGAAAGAACATGATAATTCAGTAGCCTGGATCATGCCTTGGAAAACGGGCTTTGTCCACCAAAGACTTCGTGTGAGGGCTCTCGCAGGGAAGACATCTGGTGCCCCAGCTGAGCTGTTGTGTATTTAAAGCCAGGAGTAGCACATCTGCAGCATTATTAATGTAGATCACAAAATAATTGCAGGGCAACCGATCAAGCCTAGTCTGAAACAGCTCCAGCATTAACGTCCTTTTTAAATGGGAGCCCTACAAGAAGCAAATGCCCAGTTAAGAAGTGAGGGTCTGTCAGAACCAGCCTCTTGGGCTTTGCAAAGTGACTGGATGCATCTTCTTTTTCATACAACTTAAAACTAGGTTCCTGACCTTTTTTGGTCAACAAAAATCTCACGAGACATCTCATTAGGGAGGGGAGTTCCTCTTCTGGTTTCCTTCAGCGAGTCAGTCCTGTGAGCCTACAACTACCCCCTCCAGTCCTACATGGCAATGGAGTTTTTCTTTTCCTTTTTGCCCATCCTCAGCTTTTGCATGGTTGTTGTCCATTGTCAGACAGCTGCCATCTTCCCCCAGAGGTGTTGGCCTTTCACTTTCCAGTTAAGTAATTTTTATCTGCCATCTGGGGGTGTTGCAGAGCTTACCTAGCTGTTAGCAAAAGCTCTGGGATGGAAAAACATTAAATCTGGGTGAAGGGATTATTGCAATCAATATTAAGCACACTTTAGACATATTTCTGACTCCTCTGGTGTGCCCATAACCCTCTCCATATGGCCAGCTCAAGGGTTTTCAGACACACGGAGCCTCAGCAACCTCTGATGTGCCTCTCCAGGGCTTGCTTTTCCCAGCACACTCGTTGCTCTGCTGAAATCCCCTGGCCTTGCAGAGCACCAGATCCTATACTGGGCTGTATGGCATCTTGGGTCCTAAAAGGGAGGATGGAGGTGAAGGCTGAAAATGGACAGGGC